GATTCTGTCTCTAAAAACAAACAAACAACCACCACTGACAAAGGCTGGCGTGGGGGCAAAGGCTGTAACCTCAGCACTTGGGGGGTGAAGGCCGGTCAGGAGGGTCAGGAGTTCACCACCATCCTCAGATACACAACCAATCCAGGCCAGCCCTGTCTCACAATGAAACAAAAATAAAACACATGCAGGCCGGATCACAAATATGGCAGGATTTCAAATGGAGAGAAGACATAAGAAGTACATTTCGAGGTGGGTGGGCAAAATGGCTCGTCCATTAAAGCCACTGCCATGACCTGCAGCAACCTAAGTTTGACTCCCAGAGTCCACACAGTAGGAAGAACCAATCCTCACAAGCTGTCCTTCGCAGCCACCCACTCCACAAAAACAAAAAGCTTTCGTCCCAGCACTCAGGCGAGGGGATCTCTGTAAGCTCAAGGCCACAGACAGGACTATAGAGACTCTGTCTCAAAAAGAAAAAAGAAAAGCCGGGTGTTGGTGGCGCACGCCTTTAATCCCAGCACTCGGGAGGCAGAGGCAGGTGGATCTCTGTGAGTTCGAGGCCAGCCTGGTCTACAGAGCAAGTTCCAAGACAGCCTCCAAAGTCACAGAGAAACCCTGTCCCGAAAAACCAAAAGAAAAAAAAGAAAAAGGAAAAAAAAAGATAGTGCATTTCAAAATTATCAGTTTCATTGTTTAGTCAGGAGTTAGTGGCACACACCTTTAATCCCAGCACTGTGGAGGCAGAAGCAAGTGGATCTCCATGAGTTTGAGACCAGCCTGGTCTACGGAGCAAGTTCCAGAACCAGTTCCATAACTACTGGGAAATCTTGTCTTGACAAACAAACAAACAAACAAACAAACAAAAAGCATTATTTATTAAGTCTAGATTACCCTTGTGTTTGGTAGCTTGTTCTCTGTGCTTTCCAGCAGGCTAAAAACAAAACAAAAAAGATTTCTAGGCCCTAGCAGACCTGGAGGAGCAATCTGCAAGTCTGCTGGCATATAAAGTTCCCAGGAGATTTAAAGAACAGCTAAGTCTGTGACTTCTGCCTTAGAAAAGGAAACTGGCTTTACTTATTAAAACCAACTTTTCTATTTATATCTTTCATCTCATACAGGTCTATAAAAATAACCTAAGAAGGGCTTCGTAAACTAGGCATCATAAGACCTCCTCACTATCCTTTTATTTGTGGGTTATGTACAGTCTTAGGATTTTTACTGCTGTGACAAAACACCATGACCAATATCAAGTTGGAAAGGGAAGGGTTTATTTTGCTTATAATTCCAGGTAACAATCTATGACTGAGGGAAGTAAGGACAGGGGCTCAAGCAGGGTAGGACCTGGTGTCTCCCTAGACCTGGAGCTGATGCAGGAGCCATGGAGGGGCTGCTTACTGGCTTATTCTGCCTGCTTCCCCACAGCACCCAGCGCCTCTTCCCAGGGACAGCAACACCCTCAATGGGCTGGGCCCTCCAGCATCAATCACTAAGAAAATGTAGCCTACAGAGCTAGTTTCAGGACAGCTAGGGCTACACAAAGAAACTCTGTCTCAAAAAAACAAAAAACAAAAAACCCCCAGAAAAACAAAAAAACAAAAAATAAAGAAAGGAAGGAAGAAAGAAAAAAAATGCCCTACAGACTTGCCAATTTCCTGGAGGCAGTTTCTCAATTGAGGTTCCTACCTCCCAAGTGACTCTAGCCTGTGTCAGGGTGACATTGGACCACCAAGGATAACGGAAACCTTGTCAACTTGACACATAAACACATTATTAATAAGCCATAATCTTTCCCTTTTTTGTTCACACATTAATATCAAAATCACAATATAAAACATTCCAAAATTTAAAAGTACCATAGACTTTAAAAATTCAAACAGTAGCCAGGCGTTGGTGGCGCACACCTTTAATCCCAGCACTCGGGAGGCAGAGGCTGGCAGATCTCTTGTGAGTTTGAGGCCAGCCTGGTATACAGAGCGAGTTCCAGGGCAGGCTTCCAGAGCTATGGAGAAACCCTGTCTCGATAAACAAACAAACAAAAAAAGAAAACAACAACAAAAAAGAACACTGGATGATCTTCTAGAGGACCTGGGTTCAATTCCCAGCACTCACAGGACAGCTCACAACTGTCTGTAACTCCAGTTCAAGAGTATCTGGCACTCTCTCTCACAGACATATATGCAGGCAAATCACCAATGCACATAAAAATAAATCTTTAATAAAAACCTCAAACAGTAAAAGTCCAAATTCTATTTAAAATGTTCAAAAATCGATCAACTGTGGGCTCCTGTAAAATAAAAAATAATGCCTTTAATCCCAGCACTCAGGAGGCCAATATCTGAATTTGAAGCCAGCCTGGTCTACACAGCAAGTTCTAGGACAGCCAAAGCAACAAAAAGAAATGTTTTCTCAAAATAAAACAAAAAGTTACTTTCTTACCTCAAGAGGAAGAACCAGCTTACAGTTACAATCAGAACAAAGCAAAATCAAATTCCAACAGTGTGGTGTCCCATGTCTGTGATTCACTCATGGTCTGGGCTCCTCCAAAGGGCCTGCCTGGGCCACCTCTCTGGCTCTACTCTCTGCAGCACACACAGCTTGTCTTCTGGGCTAGGCTAACTCCACTCCACAGCTGTTGCTGTTCTTGGTGGGCATTCCCTGGTACTGGCATCTCCAAACACTGGGGTCTTCTACTGAACCTGGGCTGCTCTTTCACCAATAGCCTCTCCTGGGCTCTCTTCAGGGATCCCAGGCCTGCCATGGTGCCAAGCCTCAGCTGTTCTTGTATGACCTTGGTTTTTCAAGACAGGATTTCTATGTATTGTTTTGGAGCCTGTCCTGTCAACTCTGTAGACCAGGCTGGCCTCGAACTCACAGAGATCCACCTGTCTCTGCCACCAACACCCGGCTAGTGACGCACACCTTTAATCACAGCACTCGGGAGGCAGAGGCAGGCAGATCTCTGTGAGTTCAAGACCAGCCTGGTCTACAAGAGCTAGTTCCAGGACAGCCTCCAAAGCCACAGAGAAACCCTATCTCAAAAAACCAAAAAAAAAAAAAAAAAAAAAAAAAAAGGCGTGTGCCACCACTGCCCGGCTAACTGGATGACTCTTACACCACTGAGTTCAGCTGCCAGCATGAGATTCAACCTTGACTGCCTCTGGAACACAGCTTCTGTGTGCTAACTCTGAGGGAACGCTTTCCAGAAGATTTCACCTCAATGAATCACAGTTGGTTCTTCAGCTCCAGCTGACCAGATAGCAGATTCTTCATGCAAAAGGCTGAAGTCTTTGCTTCCCTCTGAAACTTCACAAGCCAGGCCTCTGTGCTCTGCACTACTCTTGATATTTGTGTCTTTTGAGATCCCATAGAACAGCCCACTCGTAGGGTTCAGTGAAACACTGAAGTGCCCAGACTCAGGAACAAAGAGTGTTTAATATTCCAGCATAAACTGGGCCGTAGTGCCGCACCCCTTTAATCCCAGCACTCAGGAGGCAGAGGCAGGCAGATCTCTGAGAGTTCAAGGTCAGCCTGGCCTACAGTGCTACACAGAGAAACCCTATCTCAAAAAACCAAAAATAAAATAAAAAAAAAGGCGGATCTCTGTGAGTTCGAGGCCAACCTGGTCTACAGAGTGAGTTCTAGGACAGACTCCAGAACAATACAGAGAAACCCTGTCTCGAAAAACCCAAAAAAAAAAAAAAAAAAAAAGTTAACATGTCTGAGTTGTTTTATAGGAGGGCCGAGTGAGAGTACATGCTTGTCTGAGCCCAAATTCTTTATCATCTCTACAGAAGGTGACCCCAGAGAGGTTACACTCCCGTTATCAGTCCCCAGTCCCAGGAGTAGAGAGCCTCCAGGAATATTGTCTCCCGTATCATGTTATTTCTTTCCTTTCTGTTTTCTGAGACTGGATCTCCTGTAGCCCAGGCTGGCTTCAACTCCCTACAGCCAATTCTTCTGCCTGTACCTCCTGAGTGCTGGGATCCCAGAGCTTTGTGCTTGGTGAGCAAACACTCTACCAAGTGAGCTACACCCCAGCACCCGTACAGACCTTTTTACTCTTCGGGAGCTTTCTCCAGCCAGGGAGAGTGCGTTTCTGGCCACAAAGTTGGCTCGTGCCTCATTCTTCCTACGGTAGCGCCGGGAGTTCTCTAGGCTGGGCTATTTCTGGTCTGCTTGTTTTCACAAGCTTGAGGCACCCCGCCAGAGAGCATTTACTCATCTGGCCCATGCGGTGGTCCAGTTCCCTCTCTGCACCCAGACCTTTGGTAAACGCCAGGGAGAGAGGGCGAACGTCCGGGTTGGGCACTGGTGTCTGAAAAGGGAAGGGCTGTGGAGCCGAGCGCTGCATTTCCAGGGCATCTCTGAACTCCGGGGACACCACGGGGCAGACCCACGCGGAAGAGTCTGGGGCAGGGGACCAGGCTTAAATGCAAATCTTAACATCTACTTCGGGAGCCAGCTTCCTAAGATCAAATGTAAAAATGACAACAGAAAAAAAAAGATTCAGAACTTTGCAAGTTACTGCTCCAGGCCACACGAACCCGAGGGCTTGGCTCTCCGCAGCTCACTACTGCAGGAAGCGAAAGCCATCGCAGCCGCAGCCCCGCCCCAGCCCGGCGGGTGTCCGTGGGCCCGCAGTCGTGGGGTCAGGGGTGGGGACGCTCAAGCCCTTTCCGTTCCAGAACCCGCGCACACGGCCGAGCCTGAGTCACCAACTGCCATCCCGGGCCGGAAGTCACCGCCACCTCTCACCGCTGGAGAGAGGTTTCCGGTGAGCCGGTGAGCACGCACGGACTACAACTCCCGGCAAGCTCCGCGGCCGCCCCAGTTAACCTCTCCCGGCCCGGAGCAGCCCTGCGTCTCGCCCCCGCCCCTTCCTTGCACCCGGCAAGGTGAGTTTTGCAGGGCTGGGTGGGCCTTTTCCCTCTGCGGTTTAGGAATGTGAATGAGAGAGAGAGGGGGGTGTTGTCTACAGAAGGATTTCTTATTTTCCAAAAAATGGGACAATTTGCAATAAAAAGAACCTGACGCCCTTTTGCAAATAGGAGACACACTATCTCTGCCCGAGCCCCAAGGCCTAAGTGGAATGACCAGTTTCTCAGAATGCTACCCAATCTTCTTTCTCCAAGAATAGAGTCACCAGAACCTTCTCCCAGCTCCCAAAGGCGACCCCTTCCCTTTGCCAGCGCTTGTAGCAAGGTTTGTGACTTAAAGCTGAGCTCAGGTTTTTATCATAGGGCTGATTGGAGTGTGGGTGTGGGAATACCCACGAAACCAGGAGGAGACCCTGTCACCTTTTGGATTAGAGAATCTAGGTTCATTGTCTCCCAGAACCCTCTCTTCACGTGTGTGTGTGTGTGTGTGTGTGTGTGTGTGTGTGTGTGTGTGAGTGATTTAAATAACAATGCCTTGTTAAAAACGTTCTTTCTTTGGAAGTGTGTGTCACTAAGTGAAGACAGTGGGTAATGTCAAGCAAGGTTCAGGTCTGTGCATGGTTCCAGGTTGGGGGTAGGTGAGGGCCCAGGAACCACATGTCTACTGCTCATTAAACTGTGGGTATGGTCAAAGGGTGTGGAAAGGCACCCCTGCCACACACACACACACACACACCTTTTTCTGTTTCCAGACCTTAAGACTTTCCCACTTGACAGCAGGCTCCTCCTATGCTGGCCAGGCCCTGCTCCATCCCCAGTCCTTCCACAGTCTAAGCTAACGCAGGGTTTTGTTGAGGTTTTTTTCCTCTCTTCTCTTCATGCCTCTCTATCTCAGTATCACTGGCAAGCATCCTAGTCTCACCCTGGAGGTTAAATCTGAGACGTCTCTTGTTTCTTTCCCCTGTCCTTAAAGGAAACAATATTCTTGTCAGCTTTGGGGGAGGAGTGGCAGAGGGAAGAAAAGTTTGGGGCAGGAGTCCTGCACTAAAGGAGGCCAGGGGAGTGAAGGGAGACAGGCATAACTCTCCTGTCCCTCACTCTTGCCACCGCCAACTGGCTCCCTGCCCCTGCCCCCGCCCCTTGACATCCCAGACTCCCTGCCTATTTAAACAGAGATGGGTGCCCCCATCGGCACACTGTCCCTTGGCCACCTGACATCATGCCTCCCAAGAAGGATGTTCCTGTGAAGAAGCCAGCAGGGCCCTCCATCTCGAAGCCTGCTGCCAAGCCTACGGCAGGGACCCCTCCAGCCAAGACCAAGACTGAGTCAGCTGCCCCCCACACCCCGGCAAAATCCCAGGAACCCCCTGTTGATCTCTCCAAAGTGGTGGTAAGTCCCAGCAAAGTGCGGATTTTGGAAGCGGGTGGTTCAAGGATGTGATACTCGGATTAGGGAATGTGTGGGAAAAGTAGGGGATGAATGAACACCGTAAAGACTGGGAGTTCCCGGGCCAGGCCAGCTTCAAGGTGAAGGGAGAGAGCTGCTGTCTGCCCCTGGCTAGCTGTCTAACTCAAAAGGCCACATCTCTGAACCTCAGCAGGGGAGACTGAAGAGGACAGGCTTGTCAGACAATCACAGCTGGGGGCAGGGGTAAATTTAGCCTTTGTTCAGCCCCCAGTTATGTGAGGGATGCAGGACTTGGAGGCCGTGGAGGGAGGGGAACAGGTGGCATGGGATTAACCCTGTTCCCAGGAAACCTTCCCCCTATAATTCCTCTTGGGATTCTCCCAAGGCCACGAGCTGGGAATGGGACTGAAGTGGAGGGGCCCTCCCCAGCAGTGGCTGCCAGTGGGCTGGGAGAGCTAGGGAGGGACTGAAAAGACTGTCATCTCTCCTTACTTGCTCTCCCCCCACAGATCGAGTTTAACAAGGACCAGCTGGAGGGTGAGAAGCCATCTCCTAAACCCCATTGTCCCATCCCAAACCCCTGGTCAGATCTGTTCTCCCAGTGACAGTCCCGACCTTGAAACCTCCCACGCTTGTCCTCTTTACTCCCGGTTTTGTCCAGCTGCAGCACACAGTGCTCCAGCCCCTAATTTCCCAACGGAACCTCCCTTATATCTGAGGTGATGGGAATCTCTGGTCAACACTGCCTTCTCCTTGCATGTCAGAGTTCAAAGAGGCCTTTGAGCTGTTTGACCGAGTGGGCGATGGCAAGATCCTCTACAGCCAGTGTGGGGACCTGATGAGGGCCCTGGGCCAGAACCCCACCAACGCTGAGGTGCTGAAGGTCCTGGGGAACCCCAAGAGTGATGGTGAGAGGAACCTTGGAATATGTGGGCTTTTCAATCTTTCTCTTGGTATTGGAGATTGAATACCGGGTTCTACCCTGGGACGCTAAGCTCCCTTTCTTTTCTTTCTTTCTTGTTTTTTTTTTTTTTTTTTTTTTTTTTTGGTTTTCAAGACAGGGTTTCTCTCCTGTAGCCCTGGCTGTCCTGGAACTCACTCTGTAGACCAGGCTGGCCTCAAACTCACAGAGATCTGCCTGCCTCTGCCTCCCAAGTGCTGGGATTAAAGGCGTGCGCTATCACCTCCTGGCCTTTTCTTTCTTTTTTAATGTGGAACACTTAACAAATCCGTGTGCCATGCTTGTGCTGGGCCAGGCTGATCTTCGTGTTGCTCTGACTTTAGCGCTGCTGAAGCGAGCACAGCTGTTTCCAGCCTGGAACTTTCTTGGCTCCTCCCCACAACCCCAAAAGGGTCTCAGTGCCCTAGCAAGAACGACCTTAAATTCTGGTCCTCCACCTCCTGCCTACCACAGAGTGCTGGGGTCATGCCAGTTTGTGTGATGCTGGGGTTGGACCTGGCGCCTCGTGGAAGATGGGCGAGCCCTTTGTTACTGAGCCCTGTTTTTTACTGAGACAGGTGCTCACTAAGTTACTTGGGCAGCCTTGACCGCACTCTGGTATCTGTGTCCTTGAACCTACAGCTCTAACAGGCCTGGCTGTCCTGGGACTCACTACATAGACCGGGCCAGTCTGTCCTTCGAGTGCTGGGGCTGAAAGTGCCGGCCACCACTCACGGCTCTCTCTCTGTCTCTCCACTACACCCCAGCGCTTCTTTTCTAGTTTCCTGTCGAGATGAAGTCCCGCTAAATTGTTTTGGCTGCCCTTAAATCTGCCATGGTAAGGTTGAAGGATGCTGGGATGGACCTCAGAACTTCAACAGCTGTTGAACACAGGGGCAGGGAAACATCCTGAAGGGATGAAAAATCACGATGGCAGGAATGGATGCAACTGAACCCTACACCTCAGTGACCTCTCTCACAAATTTTTTTTTTTGAGACAGGGTTTCTCTGTGTAACTTTGGAGCCTTCCCTGGAAGAAGCTCTGTACACCAGGCTGGCCTCGAACTCACAGAGATCCGCCTGCCTCTGCCTCCCGAGTGCTGGGATTAAAGGCGTGCGCCACCACTGCCCAGCCTCTCACCTCTTTCTAATCTCCAGAGCTGAAGTCCCGACGTGTGGACTTTGAGACGTTCCTGCCCATGCTCCAAGCAGTGGCCAAGAACCGGGACCAAGGCACATACGAGGACTACCTAGAGGGGCTTCGCGTGTTTGACAAAGAGGGCAATGGCAAAGTCATGGGGGCAGAGCTCAGACACGTTCTTACCACTCTCGGTGAGGCAGGGGCAGAACTGTGGGATGGAGAAGGGGGAGGTACCACAAAGCCTGGAATGGGAGAGTTGTCCTGCAATCATGGGCTGGCACTGAGGGGGCCCGAGTTTCCGAGGCAGAAATTGCTCGCTTCCCTGTCTGTCAAAGCTTTCACCAGTTCCGAGGCACGGCTGATGTGGGCCCTATGGAGAGAAAAGGGCAGGGGGGCTTGGGCTAGTGAGGCAGGAGCTCTAACTGTGTTTGGGGTTCAGGAGAGAAGATGACTGAGGAGGAGGTGGAGACTGTCCTGGCAGGCCACGAGGACAGCAACGGCTGCATCAACTACGAGGGTGAGGGAGCACGGGCAGACCTTTGTGTGGGTGGGAGCACCCTCGATTACCTAAAGTTCCACGGACTGCCTGTCAGTCAGAGTCTGAAGTCCTCTCCCTTCCTCTCGTGCAGCCTTCCTGAAGCACATCCTAAGCCTCTGAGCTCCACAGGTAGTCCTCCAGCCCCTAGTCGCCCTGAGAGGCAAAGCTCCTCGACCAAGCAGATAGACGAACAGGCAGTGCGATTCCCGTCCGTCCTTCTGCAGCGCGAGAGCGCCAGGGCTGGACAACTTTCTCCCCCACGCAGATCCAGCGGGGTCGGATGCTCACCCCACCTCCCGGGCGGCGGGAGGTGCGTTCCTGCCACTAGGAGGCACTTAGAGCTTTGAAATAAAGACCTGGCTCCTGCTTTGGTCTCCGACTGTTTCCTTTGGAGGAAGGGGAGGGAGGGAGGGAGGTGGGTAGTACTGTCTTCGGCCAAAGCCCAGATTCGCTGCTCTTTGTGCAGCTCGGAAGACTGGCACCCAGCGCCTCGCAACCCGGCCCCGGGGCGATTTGTGGTCCGAGGGCGGGGCCCCCGGTCTCATTACTAATGTAGTGACGTCATCGGCACGGGCCCAGACTAGCATCCCTATTGGATGGTACGGAGGAGGGTGACGTCATACGCCACGGGACGTGCTAAGGCTAGGGCTGGGTCGGCAGTCGGAGCCATTACTGCCGGAAGAGGTCTTGCAGAGCTGAGCGGCCAAGATGGTGGGCCCCGGGCATCGGGAGCTTAGGGGGGCTGTGTGGCGAGGAAGGAGCCGTGGGTCGGGGGAGGGGAAGCCCGTGGGTGTGGGCAAGGGCAAGCCCGGGTCTCGGAAGCTCGGACGCGGTGGGTGGGAGATCTAGGGCGCTCTCTCTCTCTGCCTTGGGACGCGAGTCCTCAGCTGCAAACGGGAGTTGTGGTTCAGTTTGTAAGGCAGGGATAGACTTCAGGTGCTCACCAATCCCTTCTTCTCCGAGCAGTGTGACTTCACCGAGGACCAGACCGCAGGTAGGCAGTCTCTGACCCCCACCTGAGGTCACCCTTACCGAGAGGGACCCCCTCCTTTAGCATCTGCTCTTTGATGCTCGCCTGTCATCTCCGCAGCACTTCGGGGAGAGCGCCCCGAGGGTTTCCTTCTCCTCCTCTCTGGATCCTCCATTTTCTTTCTCATCCTTTCTTCCTTCCCCTCCCACTCTAGATCTGAGCCCCAGGCACTGGGTGAGTTTTAGGTGGGGTGGGTGTGTGGAACGACTTTGTCCGATTACTGCCTGTTGTGTCTACTTATACCTGTGTTCTGCCGCTTCTAATCGGCCACTTTTGCCTCTCCTGCAATAACTGCCCCCTCCTTCGGCTTGGATTGTGAATACTGTAAAGAACAGACTTGATATTTTGTGAAGATGGGAACCGGGAAGTTTGCTAGGGATGTGACTTAGCTTCCCTGGAAGATCTCTGTAAGGGGAAGGCTGGGAAGGGGAAGGCTGGAAGAATGACCCTGGAGTCCCTAGCCGCCGCTCCTACTTCCTTATAAGGACAGGACCCAGCCGGGGCGGTGGCAAATTCCTAAGAGTAGTGTGGAAGAGGTAAAGAACCTAGCCTGCTGCAGGCTCAGGGGGTGTGTAAATCAACAGGTGGAGACCACCTCGTGCTGGGCAGAAGGAAGAAGGCTGTGTCTCTATGCGGGACATTTGAGTTGGTAGAAACGGATCCCTGGGAGCAGTCTTGGGTGTACAGCAGGACAAGAGATCTGGTTTCTTTAGCATGACTGCCGTTGGGTTGGTGGCAGAGCTCTGCAGGGAGGAGGCTTAATCCCCTGTGCTGCTGTTCGTCTGAATCCTTAGAGTTCAAGGAGGCGTTCCAGCTGTTTGACCGTACCGGCGATGGCAAGATCCTCTACAGCCAGTGTGGGGACGTGATGAGGGCCCTGGGCCAGAACCCCACCAACGCTGAGGTGCTGAAGGTCCTGGGGAACCCCAAGAGTGATGGTGAGCATCTCGAGAGCTTAGTGTGCCACTGGGTTCATGGCTGTTGTGTTAAAAGCACCCCTTTTTCTTCATAAGGCCTAGACAGACAGTCCCACAGGCCTTCCCTCTGCTGGCTGGAGTTGCCAGTTCACTTGTGTCTCTTGTGTGACATTTGTCCGTCCCGCGTGGCAGAGATGAACGTGAAGGTCCTGGACTTTGAGCACTTCCTGCCCATGCTGCAGACGGTGGCCAAGAACAAGGACCAGGGCACTTACGAGGACTATGTGGAAGGCCTTCGTGTGTTTGACAAGGAAGGGAACGGTACCGTCATGGGTGCAGAAATCCGTCATGTCCTTGTCACACTGGGTAAGGCTCTGACCTGTTCTGGAGCTGCCCCTTGATACACCTCACCTGTCACCAGTTCTACAAGTACTCCTCCCTCCGCAGGGGAGAAGATGACAGAGGAGGAGGTGGAGATGTTGGTGGCCGGACATGAGGACAGCAACGGCTGCATCAACTATGAAGGTGAGTGTCCAGTTGTGAGCCCAGCCTTTGAGGACGAGATGCTCTGAGGCATGCTAGGGACAGCACCTGAGGTGTTTTGCTCCTCGGCTTGGTTCCAAAAGGGAGATAGGAGTCAAGGGGCAAGGCCCCGTGCAGCCTGGGGGGGAGCTGTGGGGGTGTAATGGCAATGGAAGGGATGATGGAGTATCAAGGGTGGGGAGGAATGGGAAGTAAACAGAATGTCTGCTCCCCACTGCCTGACCCCTTCACCCCATGTCTGTGTCTTGTCTTCACCATTAATGTCTCTTCCTTCCTGCAGCATTTGTGAGGCATATCCTGTCGGGGTGACGGGCCCATGGGGCGGGTACGGTTCCTCCCAGCCTCTCTAGTATTTCCATGGTGTTTCCTTTCTTCCCCAACCTGTGCTCTGTAGCCCCTGCCCATAGCCTACTACCGGCTGACTTCTCCCTGGCATGATTCTGCATGGAGCTGGCTCGGGAGGGGAGGCATTCCTCAGTAAGAGGGAAAGCAGCTTGGGGGTGTGGTACCTCCTTCCTTCTCTCTGGTCTCTGAGGTTGGACTTACAGGGTCTTGGTGCTGGTGTCTGGAAGCTCACCAGCTTGTAGACAAGGCTTGCCTTACGGTGGTTCTTTGGCCCTAGAGCATGGAAAGTTGGCAAAGGGGGGTGGGCTGCTTGCCCCATTCTGCCGCTGTAACAGAATGTTCTTTCTCCTTCCTGCTGCTGGACAGCTTGGAGGTACCCTAACCCAAAACTGTCTTCTCCCGCCAGTGGCTGACGTAGCTATAGGTGTAGTTGAGAACTTCTCTGCCTCTGCTGTGTTCTTGCTGCTCAGCGTGGGGTGGGGGACTAACAGCTGGTGGGAGGGGAACCAGGGGCAGAGAGAACTGGTCACTCAAGGTGGCCCTTTTGCAAACTGACCCCAAAGATGGTTGCTGTGGGCATGTTCCTCAGACCACCTTCATGGTCTTGTGGTCTCCTGGCCCATGGTGTTCCCCTCCCCTGCCCTTTCCTTGGCTTACTCCAGCTCTCCTCTCCACAGAGCTTGTCCGGATGGTGCTGAATGGCTGAGGACATTTCCATACTGCGAGCAGTGCCTTGCCCACAGTGAGATTTCTATGTGGCCCCTCCTGGGCTCCCTTATCACAGCGCCTGGCCCATCTGGTCTCTTCTGGGTGATGTTTGCCTTCACAAATAAAATGCTCTCTCTTTTCCCTATTTTGGTTATTTTCTTCCCTGAGCAGACTGAGGGAGGAAAAGCTGAGGTGGTAATATCTGTCCTGAGACAAAGCTCAACGCTGAGGGGTTAGGGAAGCTGGATTAAGGCCTCATTAGTAAAAGGCTCCTCTTTGGGGGATGGAGAAAGCCATAAATCCCTATAGGATGAAAGCTAGCTGCATATTTGTGTAGGCATCGTTTTGTTCTGTTCTGTGTCAGGTTAAATTTCTTGGCCCTAAGGCTTCTTTGAAACAGGCCCCCACCCTCTCAAGTCCTAAACACCTTTGTGGGAAAGCCTGTGAATGTTTACTGGAACTAAAAATGCCAGGACATATTAGTACTGTCACATCTGCAGGGATGAAGCCAGTAACAACAGAAGTAGATGGGGTGCCTGCCTCTCCCTAATAAGGGAAGGAATGTAGCCACTGTCTAAAAGGATTTAGTCCATGAGCTATTTTCAGAGTAGGTGAGAGTCACTGCTGCTGCAGTACAGTCCTGGTTGCCCCTGGCCTCTTGTGGCAAGAGACTGACATCTGCCGGCCTGTGGTAAATGTCCAGGGAGGGACTCCAGGAAGGCTGCCCCCAGCCCAGTCTGCCCACTGCCAAGCAGCCACAGGTAAGAGAACACAGAGGCATCCACAAGATGGAACTGAAAGCAAATTAATTTATAAAAAAAAAAAGGAAAGGAAAGAACAAAGAAAAGAAAATTTTACAGAAAACTTTGAACAGAAGAAAGGTGCCAAGATGCAGAGGAAAAGAAACACTGGGACAGGAGAAACAAGGGGCCTGGTCGGGGACCAGGCGTTGGCAGAGAGCCTGGGATCCTGTCTGCCTCACAGGAGGAGGAGGAGGACTGGAGTGGAGAGGCACTGATGCCCAGGGAGCAGAACCACGCCGGGCAGGCTGCACCCAAATCCCTGTCCTCACGGGGACTACTCGCTATATGTGAGGCTCTCTGTCCTCACGGGGACTCCTCGCTAAATGTGAGGCTCTCTGTCCTACCAGTGAGGTTCTGTCAGGCTTGGCAGGAGAGGGCAGAAGTTAGCAGAGTGTCCGTCCCACTGTCAAAAGTAGGTGCTTAAGTGCTTTTCAAACTTCCAGGGCTGCAGACTCCCCATTCTCTTAGAGTTCCTAGTGGTTTCCATGCCTTCTAAACACTCAAACACCAGAGAAAGCAGGAAGAACAGCCCCCACTGCGGCCCTCTCTTCCTCTATGACCTACCACAGAACCCCCAACATACATTTCCCCACTAAATACACGTACGCTGACATCAACTAAGCAGGTGACTTTTTAAAAACAAACACAAAGCTGACATTCAGAGGGAAAGGTCCTTGGCTGAGCTGGGGTGGCCTAAAACAGCAACAGTGATGAAGCAGCAGGGGATTAGCGTGGACTGGAATGGGTGAGGAGGGCCAGCTCTTTCTACCAAGGGGCTGAGGAGACAGGCTTGGTACCCTATTCCATCCCCACAGCTCGCCCCCAAACCTTAACTCCTCTTAAAACCTGCCCTTCCCCCTAAAAAAAGTTATTTTTTGTGGGCTCCAATGTGTCTTTAAAATCTCCCTTTTAAAGGGTTTCGTTTCCATTTATCCACTTCAAGAATGCAGTAAGTCTGAAGGGGGTACGCCTGCCCTCAAAAGTGGTTAGTAGAACCTTGTATAACATCTTTCCCTAGCCCTTCCCCTGAGGGCACCATCTCCATCCTACCCTCTCTCCCAGGCATTAGAAACATCTTTTAGTCAGAAGTCCGTGGACAAGAAGTGGATATAAAACGGCACACCTCTGCTGGGCATGGTGGGGGCGGTGAAGGGGCAGGAAGAGCTTTCCTTACGTAGTGCCGAACTCTCCAGGCTGAGGGAGGGTCCCAGTGGTGGGGGAGGGCTGTTCCTGGACCTGTGATCTCCATGGGGAGTGAGGGGGAGAGATGGCCGGCTGGCTCCTCACTGTGGAGGCGGCACAGGGGTGACTGTGCCTGGGCTCGGAGCTGTGGGGTCTGGAGGCAGGGGGGTGCCTGGGTCTGTGGAGAAAGGAAGACAATTGAGCTGGAGCAAGCAGAGGAAGATCCAGCCCCAGGCTCCACACACACAGGCTGGGCAGGGCATGCAGTGGTGCGTAGATGAATGAGGTGCCCACTCTGCTTGACTTGTTTCCCAATCCCTTTTCTACTTGACACTGGGAAAATCTACCCCAGCCATCCTCCTGCCCCCAAGGACTCTAAATGGGGCATCTGAATGTGGCGGGAACAAGCAAAGGAGTGCCGTGGTCATGCAAGTGGGTAGCTAGTTCCCGGTTTACAGCTGAGGTCCTCTGTGCCACTGGACTCCTCCATGACCCACCAGTGAAAGGCCCCAGCGTCATCCCAGAGGTGGCAGCCGCCAGACTGGGAAATGGAGGAAGGCAGAGAGGCCCTTCCTCCTGTATTCTGGTTTTACCAGACTGCTGAAAACAGTTGTGGAAATCCTAGTGCCTAACCCTTCCCCGCCTGCCCGCCCTCCCACCGTGTGGAACCCTCTCCCTCACCCATCTCCCCTCCTGGCCCCTTCTCACCTGGCAGTGGACTGGCACTGGGCAGGAGGTTGCCCTGAACAGCTGCCACAATGGCAGGGCTCTGGGCTGCGGCGGATCCGAGCCCCGGCCCGAGAGGCAAGGAAGATGGCATGGTGGTGGTCGCCGGCAGGTTAGGATGTAGAGGGTTCGCCATGGACACAGGCAGGTTAGGTGGGGGGATAGTGCCCGGGGCAAACGGGAGATGGTGGTGATGCCCATGCAGGTTAGGAGGAGGGGGAAGGTTAATACTAATGGAGTCAGCTAGACTACCCAATGGGATGATGGATGGAGCAGCAAGAGGAGGCGGCATGCCAAAAGGCAAACCCAAAGGAGCATTACCCGCCACGCCTGGGTGCCCGCTGCCTGCCACTGCCCCCGGCATCATTGAGGGAGGAGTTTGTTGGTTGGGGAACGGTGAGGGGCCTAGAAACAAAGACAAGAAGAAAGCTGAGAGAAGTGAACCCTTAGGCCTCACTAGCCACCAGCTGGTGTCCCCTCCCCTTTGCCTGACACTAGAATAAGTGGTAGATTCTTGGAATAAAACTCCAGATATCTGTGTTTGGGAAAATATCCCTGCTGGTTTGGGGACAGAATACAATGGTGCCCACCTGTAGAAACTACAACTCATCTGTGGGCTCATCAGGTCTTCCCTTCAAGAGACTAGAACGTCTGCCAGGCTCTCTAGGCCAACAAGCTCTGCAGAGCTCATACTCACCATGGGGTCCAGGGGGGGGTACCCCTGGTGGGACTGCCCCAGGCTGGGGGGCTCCAGCTGCTTGTGGCTGCTGTGGCCCTGCAGTTGGCCCTGCCTGCCCGATCTGTTCAGAAGAACCCAAGCTTCCAGGAGGGGCCCCACTGCCAGCAGGAGCAGGGGCCACGGCTGCTGGGGCCACAGCGAGACCGTGGGCTGTGGGTGGCCCGGCAGCCCCGGCTGGGGGTATGGGCTGGGAGCCTGGGGGCAGGGCTGGTGGCTGCTGCTGCTGCTGCTGGTGCATCTGCTGGAAGTGCTGCTGCCGGGCCCGCATCTCTGCATACTTGAGCTGCTCCATGTGAAAGGCTTGACGGTCGGCCAGGAGCTGCTGCCTCTGATACTCCAGCTGCGCACCATGGAATACTGTTACCATACCCTGGCCCACTTCTTTTCAAAGACCCTACCTCTCAAGCTGGTGTTCCCCAAGACTGAACCTTGGCTTCCTCTGTCCTTCGAGTCGCACTCTTTACAGATTCTAAGACCGTCATGTCTCCCTCTGGGTACCCACATCATTCTTCACTGCACCGGAGTTGGTATGGTGTGGCTCTGGTTCATTTCAATCCCCAAACTCTGAACTTGTTATTACTCATTTTCAGTTCCTATCAACTCAAGTTTTCTTTCTTCAAAATCAGCTAAACACTTACTGTTCTTAGAGAGCAATCCCACATGGATGCACTCACTGGCTCCTGAATTTTGATTTTATCCTGAATCTCCCAGCACTTAGTTTTATCTTTACCCATTTGTTTGTTTGTTTACTTTGGTTTTTCAAGACAGGGTTTCTCTGTGGCTTTGGAGGCTGTTCTGGAACTCACTACAGAGACCAGGCTAGCTTGGAACTCACAGAGATCCACCTGCCTCTACCTCCCCAGTGCTAGGATTAAACGCATGAGCCACCACTGCCTACCCGGCCAGGCACTCAGCTTTATGAGAATCTAGTTAGTAAGAGGCAAGCATTGCTTGCTGCCAGACCTAGAGCTGTAGCGGTCAAAAGCCTCCTTAGCAGCCTGCCTGTGGCTGTCAGGCTGTAGGCTCCTGCCGTACTGCCTTCTGCTGTGGGGTCCTGTCAGCCTCGGGACCCCTAAGCCCAGCGTCTGGCAGGCTCAGGCTCCTGCTGACCCTTGACTGGTTGCTACTCACTGCTTCTCGCTCCCGGTCCATTATCGTCTCCAGCTCCTCAAAATGGCGGAGTTTGATCTCCAGTTTCTTCATTTGGGTCTCCACCAGCAGGGCCACCAAAGACTTGATTTTCCTTTCCTCAACGGCAGCCAGGTGCTAGGCAAGGAGTGTGACAGGGTCAGCCTGAGGACTCAGCTGCAGACACTCCAGACAGAGAGGGAAGGACAGAGGCTGGCAGGGTTAGGAAGGAAGCGGCGATGATCACAACTCACACTAGTGTAGCTGCAATCGTTTTACATAAAAAGCATGTAGAAGAAGAACAGCAAGAGGTAAGACAAGTAAGAAACTGAAGGGCTGGGAACGGTCAATGGTGAGAGACTTCACAAGTTTAAAGAGACGACTAACTCATTCAGGATGAAGTAAAAAGGAGCAGGCCAACACTGTCTAAGGAGTGAGAAGGGGGTTAGAGAAGCGGGCAGCTGCTTCTCCGAGAACCGTCCTCACCTTGGCCTTGACTGCAGCAGCGGCCAGGGCGGCCGCAGCAGCTGTGGAGAGGTTACCCTCACCAATGTCTCGCTCCACCTT